CCCCAAAACCCCAAAACCCCAAAACCCCGAAGTACAATTTGAAAATTGAATTTAGCCAGAGTGTTTAAATATAACTAATTCAGGCATGTGAATTAACAAGTCACCTTGGCTCCCACTCCTTCCTTAGACTCTAGGCATATTTGCCTCCCAATTGTTCGCAGAGCCTCTTACAGATGATGAGGCCAAGTCCAGTTCTAGTTTTGCTTGTGTTGAGGTTGGAACTTGTCTTGTGGAACAGCTTAAATTAACACCCAGATATTTCTCAGAGATTTACAGCCTGATGGCTTTCATGGTGATTGTGAGTTAAAATTTGTTATTGAACTAATTTGATAGGGTTCTTTTGCTTGTTTTTGATGCACTTTGCTAACTCACTAATTAGAGAAGCTAGCTCAACAAGTTTTACTTATCCCGATGGAGTTGCATAGAATTTTTCATTGTCACTCACGATCATTAAATTGCAAACTGACATTTGATCCAGACACCCAGACACAAACAAATTTTCAGTGCTACTTTTAAGCCTAGTAAATCCTACTTTATTGCTTTTAATATTTTTGAAGTAAGCCACTGGCTGCATCATGGGGCTCGCGTTGATTGCTGTTTCTTACATGAACTTAAGCGTATTGAAAAGCAACTTTAACAGAATCTGTTTGAGCTAGATTTTTCAGACCCCAATCGGATGTTCTAAAGCATTTAATATATTATGAAATTCATACTAAATTGCTCCATATTAGTTAATATCTTAGAAACAAAGCCTACTTAGCTCAACAATTGTATGAGTTTAAAAGTTGGCTCCTGAATTTGAAAGACTTCATTCTTGATCGAAGAGAAGTCAAGGGTATCTCCGATGAGTCTCTCCATATTGTCTCAGATAAACCTACAATTAAGCTGTGCTTTGCAAGAGCCTTATTGATGTGAAATTTTATTAGTTACAGCAGTAGTGACTTTATATTAATCGGAGTTCCGAACTCATACAGAATCTTTGAGACCATCTACCACTAACAATTTCTTTAGACTTCTGCCTCTTCAAATTAGAAAACCTAAGTGATATCTATAAACATTTTCAAGAAAGTAAGTTTTCGATACTAATTGTGACTCATTTAAATTTTAAAACTCTGAATAATTGGGGTTTTGGGGTTTTGGGGTTTTGGGG